GAGTCGTCGGAATTTCGACGTGCTCCACTCTGCAGTCGCGCCTCTCATCGTCGACCACCTTCGCGCTCGACCTCTGAATTTTTCATCTCTGAAGCGCTCACGCTTCTCGTCGTCGATTTCCTCCTCGGTTCTCCTTGGTCGAATCTCAATTTCGACCATCTCTTAAAACTCGTTCTCGAGTTTCCCCTCAGACCCCGCCAGAATAGGCGAACTCTCCTCGCGAAATCGCCTCCACGAACGTCTCGCGTCAAGCAAGAGCAGGTACACAGGTTGAAGCGGAACGGAGCTGGTTGCGGAGCTGGTTGCGGAGCTGGTTGCGGAGCTGGTTGCGGAGCTGTGTAGCTGCAGGACAGGGCCTTGGGGTGTGTGGGGGGGTTTGTGGGTCCGGGGTTAGACATAGGCTCAGATTCAGTTTCAAGTCGGTGTTTTAACGAATTTTCGCCGACGCCATTTCCTACTTAGCGGCGTTTTGATAAAGCCGTCAGAGTGATTTTCAGCAATTCTCGTCGACCAATTTCCAGAAGTGCCACGCTGCACACCGACAATGGCTTACTCAACCACTTCACTCGCCAACCCGATCCCGCTCCTTCGTCTCGAGCCGGATGGCACATGCTCCAACTACAAGGCTTGGCGCTATGGTGTCGACAACCACCTCGTCGGTCGCGAGGTGAAGGGGCTCGAGCTCACCGACGTCCTTCTCAACATCGGTGACGGCAAAGAGCCTCCTAAACCCGAGAGGTCCGCCGATCCAGCTAATGCCACCGCCGAAGCAGTTTATGCTGCTGCACTGCTCAAGTACAAGAATTGGGAGAAGGCCGATGGTGCGGTCATTAGTGTCTTCATGGGCACCACTCCTCCCCAACTCGTCGAAACCTACCACAAATACCCGTCTGCCAACGGCATTTGGCTCTACCTCGAGGAACGCTTCCTGAACAAGACTGCAGTGGGAGTTGCTATACTCATCCCCAGCATGTTCCAAGTGCGGCTCGAGGACTCGCCAGGCATGGCGGACTATGTCACCAAGGTGCAGTCCATTCATGGTGAACTCAAACAGTTGGGGATAGTCTTCCCCGAGCAAGCCCCTGCAGCCGCTCTCCTAGTCGGCCTCACTCCGGCATACGAAGTCACACGCAAGATGCTCTTAGGCCTTGCTCCTGCAGACCTCACATTTTCCAAGGTCTCATCCGCGCTCCTTTCTGCCGAAAAGGACAACAGCGCTCAAGCCAAGGCCAATGCAATCCGCGCTCCCGTGCCTCAAGCCTATGCCGCTTCGGCGCCATTCCAGCGCAACCGCTTCCCCCCGTGTCCCTATGTCATCAAGCACGGCCCTCGTGCCGGCCAGGTGTGTGGCGGCACCAACCACGCCCTTGCCTCCTGCTTTAAAAGGAAGGATGACGAGTGGTATGCCGCCTCGAAGACGCCAAGCTGGATGGTCAATCGTGCTCCTCGCCAAGTCAATCAAGTCGAAGCGCAGGAATCCGTGCAGGCTGCTGTGGCTGCACCTGCTGATGTGCGCCTCAACATGTTGTTCCTTGGCACTGCCATGATTAATGAAACGATTTCGCAGTATCCTGGCTCACAAACCACCCAGCCACAATAGAGTTCACCCTCGACAGTGGGGCCACTCACACGGTTCTCAAGGAAGAACACTCCTTCAAGCCATACGAGACACCAATCCGTCTACTTGGAGCAGACTCCAGTTTCACAACACACGCCAAGGGCTCCTCCACAGTTCCATGCCCAGCTTTTCCTTCGGGCAGTGTCACCGGCATGTGTGTTCCCACACTACGCCACAATCTCGTGGCCCAACACGAGCTCCAACGGGCAGGCGTCACCATGATCTTCCCAGCACACTCGGATCACTGTGACCTCTTCGACCCTAAGTCCAACAAGCTCCTAGCACGCTTCACACTCAACAGTAGCAAGCTCTACACGCTGCGTTCACCTGCACCTCTCGCCGCCCTCTCCCAAGCGCAAGCTGCCAGCACCATTCCGTGTTCGTGTCACAGCTTCGCCAACCCAACCATTCTCTAACACCATCGCTTGGGTCACCCCAACTTCCGTACACTTGCCGACATCGCTTCCAAGAAACTTCTTCTTGGCCTCCCGTCGGCGCTTCCTCCACCAACAGACTCACCTGCACCCACCTGCCTGGACTGCACCAAGAGCAAGCTCAGGCAGCAGCCGCACCCTTCCTCCCCATCCGTCGCAGCTGCTCCGCTGGACCTAGTGCACATGGATGTCTGGGGCCCAGCTCCAGTCGCATCCCGAGGCGGTCATCGGTACTTTCTTACACTAGTCGATGACCACTCGCGGTATGTTTCAGTGCACCTCCTGCATTCCAAGGCGGAGGCACCTGATGTCATCATGGCGTGGGTGCGCCAGGCTCAAGTCACGTTCAGCACTCCTCTGAAGTGCCTCCATTCTGATGGCGGGGGAGAATTTCGCAATGGCAAACTCGATAACTTCTGTGCGGCCCAAGGGATTCGGCAAACCTTCACGCTCCCCGAAAGCCCGCAGCAGAATGGCATTGCAGAGAGCCGCAACCACACCTTGGTTCAGATCGCTCGCTGCCTCCTCAGTCACGCCAACGCACCACGGTCACTCTGGGGATATGCCCTCTTCCATGCGGCACTCCTCTACAATCTTTATCCGCATCCCCACCGGCCCGACACCACACCTACCGCTCTCTGGCTTGGGGTCACGCCTTCCGCCCGCTCTCTACGCGTCTGGGGGTGTACCGCATATGTGTTGCTAAGCCCCCACATGCGCAGGAAGCAAGTTGGCAAGCTAGGTCCCAAAAGCCAGACCTGCATGTACCTGGGGCTCAACTCCGACTCCCTAGACTACTTATTCCTCAACCCAATCACCAGACAGCTGATTCGCAGCCGTGATGTCGTCTTCGATGAGACACGCTAATTCCACTCTGCGACCACGGGCGAGCCTCCTCCACCTCCCCTGACGCTTGTTTGGGCAGACTTCGATGCCCCACCTCCGGCCGCTGCCCCTTCTCCGGGGCCTTCTCCGTCCGGCGTGTCTCAACCGGCCTCCCCAGTATCCTCCGCAGCGGCACCTCCTCCTGCTCCGCCTTCCCCGCGTGTCGAGCCCGGCTCACCAGTCTTCTATCGGAGGCGCCCAGTCCCTCCGGTCCCACCGCAGCCGCCTTCGTCTCCGGTCTCTTGTTGCACTCGTTCCAAGGGACTGGCTCCGCCTCTCGCCTGGGGACCAGCCGCCTTCTCCATCCGGTGTTCGGTCACCCCGCCTCCTCCTGCCGGGGGTGATGTCCCCTCCATCCGTATTCCCCCCCGTGCACTTCTGGAGGACAGGCATGAGGAGCTGTTTGACCTTCACGCGGTCTGCCAATTTCTCTCTCACATCTTCCCGGACATTACTGACTGCCCTTCCCTCAACTTCACCGAGAACCCGACCATTCCGACTCCTCGCACAAAAGAGGAAGCTCTCTCGGGGCCTTATAAGGAGTGGAAGGCAGCAATGGATGTGGAGAACGAGGCGTTCATTCGCAACAACAGCTTTGACGATGTTGTTCCCCCTTCCGGTGTCAACATCGTCGGCGGAAAATGGATCTTCCGAGTCAAACAACTCCCTGGCGAAGCTCCACTGTTCAAGGCACGATACGTGGCGAAGGGTTTCACCCAGAAGGAGTATCTCGACTTCTTCGAAACATTCTCGCCCACGGCCAAGCTCCCGACTGTGCGCGCTCTTCTTGATATAGCCGCTCGCGGCAACTTCGAGATCAAGTCCATGGACGCCTCCTCCGCCTTTCTCCAAGGCCAGCTCAAGGAGGATGTTCACATGGAACGCCCACCGGGGTTTCCTGGCACTTACCCTGCCAACACAGTGTGGAAGCTAAAGCGCCTTGTGTATGGCCTCAAGCAGGCTCCTCGTGAGTGGCACAACAAGGTGAAGGAAGTCCTCCTCGCACTTGACTTCCATCCCTCTGCCTCAGATTCCAGTCTCTTCGTTCGTCACTCCTCCGAGCCCTTCTACATCCTCGTCTACGTCGACGACTTCATTCTAGCCGCTAGAGATCCAGCCGACATGGCAGCTGTCCAGTCGCCCACCCTGTGGTGTGACAACCAGAGTGCCATTCATCTCACCAAGGATCCTGTGTTCCACTCTCGCACCAAGCACATCGAACTTCGTCATTTCTTCATCCGAGATCTTGTTCAGAGTGACCAGCTGACGGTACGGTACATCGCCTCAGATTGCAACCTCGCCGACCTCTTTACCAAGGCTCTCGGCAAGGCTGACCACCATCGCCTTCTCCGTTCCATGGGGCTATGTGCTCCTTGACCGGGTTTGCAGTCTATGGGGGTGTGTTAGAAATAGACTGCAAATACCACTTTTGTATTTGTACTTTTATATCCTAGTTTAGGTTGTGAATGTTCTAGTGGGTTGGGGTGTACTCACAAATCCCAACCTCACCCAATTGTGATCCCCACAATCTCCAATTACCCAATTGGAGATTCCGGAGATCCTAATGGGGATTCCCTCCAATTCCCGCTTCATCTATTCTCTCTCACCTTGCCATGTACTTATAGAGCCTTGGGCTCCTTACCTAATTAATCATTTCAACGCAATTTCTTATACGTCTCCCCCGGACGCTACACTGCTTCGCATTGGTCTGCAGCCAAGAGGGTCCTCCGCTATCTACAAGCCACCAAGTCTCACATCCTCACTCTTGGTGGTACCTCTCCAGTCAAGCTCGAGGGATACACAGACTCCTCATGGGCTGATGACCAGACTGACAGACGCTCCTCCCAAGGGTACTGCTTTACCCTTGGTAGCGGAGTCATCAGCTGGCGCTCCACTCGGTCCTCTGCAGTCTCCCTGTCGTCCTGCGAGGCCGAGCTCTACGCGGGCACAATGGCTGCTCAAGAGGCACGCTGGCTCTCCTTTCTCCTTGCTGAGTTAGGCTACCCCCAGCAGTCGCCCACCCTGTGGTGTGACAACCAGAGTGCCATTCATCTCACCAAGGATCCTGTGTTCCACTCTCGCACCAAGCTCATCGAACTTCGGGGTCGATGGCGTACCCGTGTGTGAAGAGTCCCTTGAGTAGTGGATTCATCCCTTCGATCTGAATCGCGGCAACGTGTGCAGGCCGGCTGAGCGCGTCTGCTTTGTTCTTGTGGCCGGGCTTGTACACGATGTCGTAGTGGAAGTGTGTCTCGAGGAAGTCGATCCACCGGACCTGCCGCCTGGAAAGGTTGGGTTGTGTCTTCAAATATTTCAGGCTGCAGTGGTCGGTGTAGACGGTTGTTCTTCGTCCTTCGAGATAGCATCTCCATGCTTTGAAGGCGATGATGATAGCAAGAGCCTCTTTGTCGTGTATCGGGTAGTTGAGTTCTGCCCCGTGCAGTTTCTTGCTGAGGTAGGCAATTAGTTGCAGTCCATTCCCCTGGTCTTGCATTAAGACTGCACCCACGGCCTGATCGCTGGCGTCAGCTTCGATGAAGTAGTCGCGTTCGGGATCTGGCAAGATGAGCACCGGTGCGGATGTCAGTGCTTGTTTCAATTGCTCCACGGCTTCCTGGTGCTTCGTCTCCCATTTGTAGGGCGCGTTCTTCTTCAGCAGATTCGTGAGTGGTGCCGCGAGTTTCGCATACTGTGGCACGAACCTGTTGTAGTAATTAGCGAAGCCTAGGAACTGCTGCAACTCCTTCACGTTCTCGGGTGTCTTCCACGTACGTACGGCTTCGACTTTCTTGGGGTCGACGTGAACTCCTTGAGCGCTCACCATGTGTCCTAGGAATTGGACCTTTTCAAGGGCGAATTCGCTCTTGGACAGTTTGACGTAGAATCGTTCCCGTCGAAGAATTTCGAAGACGCGTCGCAGGTGTTCGACGTGCTGCTTCATGTCGCGCGAGTAGATGAGTATGTCGTCTAGGTACACCACCACGCATTCGTCCAGAAGTGGTCGTAGAATGTGGTTCATTTCGGCTTGGAACGTTGCCGGCGCGTTGGTGAGTCCGAACGGCATGACCAAATACTCGTACGATCCGTACCGAGTTCGGAAAGCAGTTTTGTGGATAGAGTTGTCCGCCATCCGTATCTGCCAGTATCCGGACCGCAGATCCAGTTTGGAAAATACCGTAGCTCCCTGAAGCTGGTCAAGCAGGTCATCGATTCGCGGTATCGGATATTTATTCTTGATGGTCTGCTTGTTAAGAGCTCGGTAGTCGATGCACATGCGCAGGCTTCCGTCCGGTTTCGGTGTGAAGAGTACTGGGGCACCGTATGGCGAAGTAGATGGTCGGATGAGTCCTTTGGCTAGGAGATACTCGATTTGTTTTTTCATGTCGGTCAGCTCCGTAGGGCTGAGCCGATATGGTGCTCGGAAGGTCGGCTTCGAACCCGGTTCCTCCACGATCTCGTGTTGATGCGTTCGGTATGGCGGTAGCTCGTTCGGAAGATCGTCAGGAAGAATGTCTTGGAACTCCTTTAGTAATTCCTTGATTTTTTCTGGAGTTTCCGAGGCTTTCTCTCCGTCATTCTCCACCTCTGTTGCTATCGCCAGGAACCCGGTGTCGGTCCGCTTCACGTCCTTCTCGAATCGTGCGAGTGTCTCCACTGGGATATCTCCAGTATCGTCCCAGTTGGGTAGCTGTACTCTCCGTCCATTGTTGTAGATGCTTGCGGTGCGGTTCACCCAGTTGATCTCGGGGTTGAATCTTTTCAGGAAGTCTCGCCCGAAGATCAAGTCAAGCCCTTTGATGTTGGTGATGGGGAGTGCAGGTCTCCAGCGCAGTGGTCCAATTTGTAGGTGTAGCACTGCTTCGCCGTGTACTGGTAACTTGCTGCCATCCACCATCGTTGCAGAGAATTTTGAAGGCTTGTACTCTTCTCGAAGTCGGTCGATTATTGCCTTGTCGCAGACGGTGTGTGACGCTCCGCTGTCCACGAGTGCTTGGAGACGTCGTCCTTTGCAGATGACCTCGAGCACGAGGGGCAGTCGTTGCTCGGAGTACCCAAAGATAGTTTCATTGATTGGGTCATAGGGTACATCCCAATACTCCGTACACACCTTTGTGTTGCTGTCTACTCCTGAGCTGGCAGCTGGCCGAGGCTGCTTGGAGAACGGCTCTTCTCCAGGGCCCGGAGTTTCCTTGACGACTGTGCGTGTCGTTGATGCCGAAGAACTGGATGCATCCGTAGAGGGAGTTCGGGGTTTTTGCAGCTTCTTGTAGACCCCCAGCTTCCTATTGAGCTGCTTCAGCTCCACCGACGTCTTCCCTGGGGAGCGGGTAGTCGTTGTGGGCTGGTGTCGGGAGAGGACGTTGACTCCGTGGAAAGGTCGGCTTCTTTCCACACTCCTTAATTTGGTCCCCAAGTTGTCCGGTACCGGTATAATCTCCACAGCTGTCTGCTTCTTTTGGAGTCCCTCCCGAAATTTCTCCAAGGCTCTAGCTCCTCGAAAATCATAAGTTTTCATTAAAGCATCTTTATAGGATAGCTTTAACGAATTCTTATAATTTCTTGGGTCTTCAAGGAGTTTCCCCGTCTCGGCAGAGTCTTTTTTCGCGGAGTCTTATTTTTCCTCGGCGAATTTCCCTGGCGAAGACTGGTCGTGGGGTGGAGATTTTCCCCCATCATTTCCTCCTGCTCGCGTCGAATCAGCTTCGTCGAAGTTGATTTTCTCGGAATCCCGCGGCCGTTTCCGGATCTTTTTATTTTCGCCAGCTAGATCCGCAATCACTGGCGACTCCCGTTTTTTGTCTTCTGATTGGCCGGAAGATTTCCGCCACTGTTGCGTGCCCGATACTCTGCGCGTGCGGCCTTCATTTTGTTGCAGTCGAAGATTCGGTGGCCCGGCACCCCGCAAAAATCACACGTGTAGTTGGTGTTTTTCGGACGTGGCCGCCCCTCGAATCTGTCGACTTCCATCGGGTCGGCGAACGTGGGGTGAGCCGAGCGGTCGCCCTGTCGCGTACTGCCGACGTGCGTCCGTCGTGCTCCGGCGTTGACCATGTCGAAGCGCTCCGCTGCCGAAACGACGTCACTGTAGCTCGCGTAGTTTGACGCTGCGACTTGTCGTTTGACTTCGGTCTTCAGCCCTGCGAGGTACGATTGCACTTTTTCCCCTTCGGTCAGGTCGGGAATTCGGTTATAAAATTCTTCCATCTGCTGCGTGTACTGTGCTACACTCCCGAACTGTCGATGGCGATGAATATTTTCGCGGGCAAGGAAACTCGAATTTATCGGTTCGAAGCGTTTCAGCAGGTCGGCGCGGAACTGCTGCCACGTGGCTTCACCGTGGATGAAAGTACTGTTGCCGCCAATCCACTCGAGTGCCGGCCCTCGCATCAGTGTCGCCGCGAGTCGTACGCGTTGACCGTCCCAGACTGGCGAGCTCCATCCGACGGCTGCGAAGTAGATCTCCATCCCGGCGATCCATCTGCGGGCGTCGGAGTTTCGATCGCTCGGATCGAACGGCTCAGGTGGGCGCGGTTTCGGAGCCTCGAGAAACTGCTGCGACTGCTGCGTCGTCGCCGTTGTCGTCTCGTGCTGCGCTCCGGCGAGTCGAGTTACTCGCTCGAACTGGTTTCGCCACGCTTCGCGATCCGCTCGCATTTCCTCCTGAAGGGCTGCGATGCGCGCGAAGAGCTGCTGGGTAACCTCGGCGTTGTCGAAGGTTGCCATCCTGTTCAAAACACGCACGGAGGGGGTAATTCGAAAATCGCGGAGCTGGTGCTTACCAGAATCGGCGTCGAATTGGTCGTCCCCGGCGGTTTTTCGAGGCAGGATCCCCGCTGCTGCTGCTTAGCTGAGCGCGACCGAGTGAGAAAAGCTCTGATACCAAGTGTCACAGGATCGAATGTGTCGAGGAAAGGTTGCACTATCGATCAGTACAAGGTGCTTTTATACTTTCAGAGTACATCAGGTAACCAGGTTTATCTTATCCTAAGGGAATAGACCCTTCTAGAAGATAGAATCACCCTGCGTATAGCCACGCGAGGCTATTGGCTTTAAGGGATTACGGCAGGATTACGCTAGATAGAGCACACCAATACATCCCAAGCCTGGTCGGTGATATAATTATAATAGCAGGATAAACCAAAGGTTAATGGAAAAGGAAGAATAGGAAACCAAATGAGATGCGGTAAAACGAGGAATGAAAAGGGAAGAGAATAAGAAAAGTCCAAGTGGTGTAACGGGGCCGTACTCTCACAATGGGGGTGTCTTAGAAATAGACTACAAATACCACTTTTGTATTTGTACTTTTATATCCTAGTTTATGTTGTGAATGTTCTAGTGGGTTGGGGTGTACTCACAAATCCCAACCTCACCCAATTGTGATCCCCACAATCTCCAATTACCCAATTGGAGATTCCGGAGATCCCAATGGGGATTCCCTTCAATTCCCTCTTGATCCATTCTCTCTCACCTTGCCTTGTACTTATAGAGCCTTGGGCTCCTTACCTAATCAATCATTTCAACTCTATTTCTTACAAAACTGTGAGCTGGCGATTTTTTATCAAACCTCAAACCCGCACGTTGCACAGAATAAACATCCTAATCGCCACTTATATTAGGAGGTACAGAGTTACCAAAATTTGACACGTTACAGTGTGGCAGCGTGTCCTCTCCAAATGTGCCCTTGAGCGAAGACCCGTTAATTTGAGGTACTTTTCCGAAATCGATTCCTATGTCGCACCACCGTCCAAAAAGGCAAAAGAATTTTTCCGGACGCGCCCTTAGAGCGTCTCCCTTTGGGTCAGAAGGATCTACGGTTGGATAGGGTAGAGGGAAAGAGTTCTCTTCTCATAGCTGAAAGCTCACTGAAAAAAATGGATGCTCTCGGTGCTTACTCAACAAGAAACACAGCTGAAAGCTCTCTAGATGCTTGCTTGACTGAAAGAAGTTGCATAAACTCTACTTAACTCGAGGTTTTGCAAATTCCTCTAAGGCACTTTCACTTAAACAAGAATAGGAAATCTGCTTGCTAGCTCAAACTTGGCTGGAGCACAAGACAAATCCCTTGGGTAGTTGGGCACAACCCAATTGCCATGAACCTTGGCTAACTTGGGAGGCCACATGAGGTGCATTAATAGGATGATTCTTGAATATTCTGTTGTATATGATTTTGTGGTGTAGAGCTCCTCGACTTTTCTGGACCACGCTGCTAAAATGCCACCCACACTGTATCGAACCTTTGGCTGAAATCTGGTTGGCAGCGGAATGGATGCAAAAGGAAGAGAGTCGAATCCAGCACCAAAAGGGAGGGTAACATTCCATAAAATATGATGTGAAATCAGCGGGGGACTGTAAGGTAGGTTACGAATGCCCGCAATAATAGAAAAGCCACTTCTCCGCAGCTCAAAGCGGCTAGGAAGACCGGCTCCGGAGCAAAGAGAACCGAAGAAGAGTCCCCTTTGCACCCAAGCTGGGATGACCGCTGACAACGGAAGACAGCAGCGCTCCAAAAATTCTTCTGCTACCCTTAAACTTTCCGTGGCGACGTGACGGCGGAATACTGCGGAGGATGACGGCACCAGTGCTACAATGGTGAGAACGGATTGAACAGGCCGATGCAGGCAGGAAGCATCAAAATCCCAATCCCCCAAGGATGGAGGGCAGGAGTTCAGAAAGAAGGCCCGCAGGGCCGACCACCGAGCTCAAGGGATGGCGGAGCAAATCTCTTCGTAAAGGTTACTGCTTTTAGGGAGGGAACTAGGCGGAAAGGAAAGTGTAACTTCTTGCTGTGTGAGTTCACAAACACCAGCGGGCACAAGTACCACAAGATGCTCGAAGCAAATCTGACGCTGAAGGAGAAATGCCTCATTCTTGATTCTGCCGAAGGGCTTACCATTGGATTTGAGGATCTAGCAATTGAAAGCAACCAGCTCAGCCAAGTGGCACCAGGGAATGAGTAGAGAAGGAACCATGGACAGGGAAAGGGAGAGAAAACTTTCAAGCGCCGCGACTGCCCAGACAGTGGTGGAGGTTATCTTAACGGCGGGAAAGAAATTGGGGTGCACAGTTGTGTGTAACACCCATGTACACCATTTTGGATGTAACCCCGCCTACAGTTATCCAAGACAACTCCAACTCGGTCAGCTCAATATTTACTGTGCTTTGCAAGTGGTCACAGAGTTTCAAGACAACCAAGCATCCGAGCAGCACTTTACACCTCGCCATGGAGATTCCGGAGATCCAAATGGGGATTCCCTCCAATTCCCCCTTCATCCATTCTCTCTCACCTTGTCATGTACTTATAGAGCCTTGGGCTCCTTACCTAATCAATCATTTCAACTCTATTTCTTACATGGTATCAGAGCAACCTATCCGCACACGCGGATCAAGGTCCTAATCTGAACGTGCCTGCGCTACGCGCACTTCATCGTCGCGACATTCGTTTCGAGTCGTCGGAATTTCGACGTGCTCCACTCTGCAGTCGCGCCTCTCATCGTCGACCGCCTTCGCGCTCGACCTCGTGGAATTCTCATCTCTGAAGCGTTCACGCTTCTCATCGTCGATTTCCTCCTCGGTTCTCCTTGGTCGAATCTCAATTTCGACCATCTCTTAAAACTCGTTCTCGAGTTTCCCCTCAGACCCCGCCAGAATAGGCGAACTCCCCTCGCGAAATCGCCTCCACGAACGTCTCGCGTCAAGCAAGAGCAGGTACACAGGTTGAAGCGGAGCAGAGCTGGTTGCGGAGCTGGTTGCGGAGCTGGTTGCGGAGCTGGTTGCGGAGCTGTGTAGCTGCGGGACAGGGCCTGGGGGTGTGTGGGGGGGTGTGTGGGTCCGGGGTTAGACATAGGCTCAGATTCAGTTTCAAGTCGGCGTTTTAACGAATTTCGCCGACGCCATTTCCTAC